AAATACACATACAACTTTATATCACTGAACTAAATTCAAATGGTCAGCAACAACAAAAGCCTGAAGGAAGTAGATCAGGGCAGTTCCTGACCTAACTAAACTAAACTAAACTGAACTCAACTAAACTAAACTAAACTAAATTAAACTAAACCTCACAAATGCACACAGGTAAAGTAATATTAATACTGTACACAATTGGCTAACGTTGGCGAAAGAAACAAGAAAAACTGAGAGAAACTGTAACAATATACGCGCAGTACATGTTGACGATTTTAGTCATTCACAGAGTGGGCGAAGGTGGGGGTGAAGGTGGGGGTGAAAGTGGGGGTGAAGGTGGGGGAAGGTGGGGGTGAAGGTGGGGGTGAAGGTGGGAGTGAAAGTGGGGTGAAGGTGGGGTGAGAAGGTGGGGAGAAAGGTGGGGGTGAAGGTGGGGAGTGGGGGGCGAAGGTGGGGGTGAAGGTGGGGGGTGAAGTGGGGGAGTGGGGGTGGGGGCAGAAGGTGGGGGCGAAGGTGGGGCGAAGGTTGGGGCAGGTGGGGGTGAAGGTGGGGGTGAAGGTGGGAATGGGGGTGAAGGTGGGGGTGAAGGTGGGGGCAGGTGGGGGGTGAAGGTGGGGGGTGAAGGTGGGGGAAGGTGGGGGTGAAGGTGGGGGTGAAGGTGGGGGCGAAGGTGGGGGTGAAGGTGGGGGGTGAAGGTGGGTGAAGGTGGGGGTGAAGGTGGGGGCGAAGGTGGGGGTGAAGGTGGGGGTGAAGGTGGGGGCGGAGGTGAGGGCGAAGATGAAGGGGAAAGGCGCCACTGCATTAAGCGTTATATATTGACTGGGATTTAAGACATATTGACACGTTTACTCAATACCAGTTAGAGGATCAAATTAACTCTTCCTTTTTTCATTCATATAATATATTTCCCCAGCGAAAAATTATCATAGCAATTATTCAGTAAGTCCATAGATCACTAAATGCGTTCACTACATTGCCTCATGATTAATAAAAGTAGCCAAGAATTCATGTTTAAATAGCTTTGGGTATGATTGAAAAAGAAAAAGATCCCTCACATGAGAAAATGATCCATCAGTCAGGTCAATAAAGCCATGGATTGGGGCTTTCTGACACAACAAAGGTACAATAGATCACGTTTACCACAACAACAACAACTCCAAACTAAGATTATAAACTAAACTACTATGTCATCTCAGCCCAAAAATGATTTACATCTCAAAGTCGTCTGTCTTGGCCGACTTTGTTCATGGAGAGTCATGCATTCTTCTTCCAAACTTCCAAACTTTTCACATTTTAAGCCACATAATTTTGTTTTATTTATTTACTATCTTGGTCCACTGGAATGATCATAATTGAAATTCAAATGAAACCCCTAATTTCCAACCTGCACAACTGAAGTGTCTGGTCAACTAGAAGCTGTACTAACAATGAACATATTAAGGTTGTGAACACCAGCGAGCGTGTCGGCGGGCCTGACTCACACACCCATAAACGAACATTATTTAGTGTACGTATGTAGCGCCCTCTGTTGTCACCTACTCGTCACTCCTTTAACACATGAAAATTTTCAATGCAGAATTTTTTTTTATCTTACTAAAATGGTTGTGTTAATATCTCCTTGTCATTTATCGTAGCAAATGGTTTTAAGAGATAATTAAAACGCTAAAAGATGGACTCGTACAAATACACAAGAGTTACTAAATGTCTAAGGGAGATAATGAGAAGTGGTACTGTACCCCCTCCTCACACCATTTACCTGTAACTCAACACACAGTCCAGTATCCACCTTACCCTCACCTGTTCTTTCTTCTCCTCCAAGACAACGATGAACCAACAGACTGTACCACTCTCTAGCGGACAGCGTGTTAACAAAATGCCTTAATTTTTACTCACAGTCCCTGAAAGAAGACAAACAAACATCCACAACATCCCTACCCACACCATCACTTTCTAAACACATCCACAACATCCCTACCCACGCCATCACTTTCTAAACACATCCACAACATCCCTACCCACGCCATCACTTTCTAAACACATCCACAACATCCCTACCCACGCCATCACTTTCTAAACACATCCACAACATCCCTACCCACGCCATCACTTTCTAAACACATCCGCTGTGACTTACATTTACCATTGAAACTATAAAGAGGCGCCGTGGTGAGTTCTTTTACGATGCCTCTAACATATAAAAAGTAACAGCGAACATGTCGGAGAATTGTTAAGTTATAAGGCTAAAATAATCAAGACAACGGCGGCAGTAGTGATAGTTTGGTCCCTAAGGCAGTGAACATACACAACACACATCTATGACAGACATAGATTTAAAAACAATGTAATTATGAATCTCTCCCCCTCCCCTCCCCTCCCTTCCCTTCCCTCCCCTTCCCTTCCCTTCCCTCCCTTCCCTTCATCTCACTCTACCCCTCATCCCTTACCCCCCTCCCACCATTTCACTCTCCCTCCTTCCTCTCACCAATCACATTCTTACAGCCAATACAGGTAGAGGTGATTATCGCCCATCTCAGCAGAATCTGGGTAGAAAATCAGCAATTGTTGACTAAGGTGAGAGAGAGAGAGAGAGAGAGAGAGAGAGAGAGAGAGAGCGGAAGGTGTAATATATGTTAGGTGATAATACTGATGAGAGTGAGATGAAGGGAAAAAGAAAGTGAGAGAGGAAAATTAAGATAAAGAAAGGAGAGAATGTGCGAGTGAAAATGAGAGAGATGGAAAGACAAAGAGGAGGACGAGTTACAGAGGAAGTGCAATTTGGTAGGTGATAATATGCTGTTTTGAGAGAGAGAGAGAGATTTATATATTCAGGGACAAAGAAACCAACCAACTAATAATCTCTCTCTCTCTCTCTCTCTCTCAAACAGTAGAAACAGTTAACAGTCGACCGTACAACCCATCATCCCCAATATGTGGCCGCAATAAAGGAATACCGCGACACACAGTACTGATTGACATTCGACCTGGCTGCCACAGGGACAATCATTCGAGCGCCACATACCACCTACCTGTGTTATTTGGTTCGGTTAGGTTAGGTCAGAAATTTATAACCACTCCACGACAGACAGACAGACAGACAGAGATAGATAGATAGATAGATAGATAGATAGATAGATAGATTAGGTTCCATATATTCTCCACCTCTCCTTCTTCCCTTCCTCCATATCCTTTTCTTATCTTCCTGTTCTACTTCCTTGATTCTTTTCCTATTCATCTACGACACCCCCCTCTCTCTGGCTCTTGTTCCAATTCTTATCCCTTCCACCACTCCTCTCTTCGTTCCATACGTCCTTCACCTGTCCCCTCCTCCTCTTCCCTTCATTCACTCTCCTCAGCCATCATCCTTCCCCCTCCGTCTCTCTCATCACCGTCATGTGGGTCATCACCAGGTATCTAGTGCAGTGCAATTCTGAGTACTGGGTGAGCGGTCTCTCTCTCTCTCTCTCTCTCTCTCTCCCCTTTCACACTTCTCTCCCTGTCACACTGTCTCCCTCTCACACCTTTCCCAATCCCTCTCACCTAGCTCCTCTCCCACAGTCACCTTACATCTCTCCTCTGTCTGTTGGACCCTTCTCACACTCTACCCCCCCCCCCCTACTACCACACTACTGTCTTGTTCTCTCCAAGATGGCAAGTTCTCCTTTCTTCTTGAGTTGTGTTCTCCAGTAACAGCGTCTGGGCGTTCTTCATGATGTTTATCCCCTGCAGATAACACTCTCATCCTCCCTCCCTCTCTCCCTTTCTCTCTCACTTTCTCCCTGTCTTCCACACTTAACGTTCCCATCAGTCGCCAGGTCCCGCCACTCTCACTTCCTTTCTCCAATTTAGAGACCGTCAGCTACCTCTCCTTTCTCTCCTCTGTAAAGGTCTATTATCCTTTACTTTCCTTAATGTAAGTCTCTGCACTTTCTTCTCCCCTTTTTCCTTTATCTAAGAGTTGTTACGCTTTCTTCTTTTCTTCCTTCCTGCGACACGGGTCACAAACCTCTCCAAATATTGTGTGGGTCTTTTTCTCCCCTCTTTCCTCTCTCTCCCCTCCTTCTCCCTCCTTTTTCACTCCCCCAACCATTCTCTCTCTCTCTCTCTCTCTCTCTCACCTGGTGTCTCCTATAAAGAGCTCAGCACACCCCGAACACTGACAGAGCAGCGTGTGTCCTCCGTGTCTTATCGACTCTGGAAACAGTTCTTACTTTAACTTCCTCAATGTATGGTTCACTTGGTCCTTTACAAAGACGGAAGCTGCCTCGTCTCTCACCAATGTAGGTTATTCCTTCTCCTCTCTCCCAGTGTAGGAACCATTTACCCTCTCACCCATGGCAATATATTCTTCCTTTTCTCACCAATGAGGGGACCATTTATTCTGTCTCTCCTCTCATTCTCTCAGGACCCATCTCGACTCTCACCCAGTATATAGTGTCGTCCCTCCTCCCCCACCCCTCCAACCGACCTCTTCACCCGGTGTTGAGCAGTATTCTCTCTCTCGTCACCACACTGGAGAGGGCGACTCGCCAATCACACATTTTTCACCAGCCGGTCACAGTTCCTCCCTCTTCTCCCCTCCTCCTCCTCCTCAACGCAAACACCTCCTTTCCTCCTCCTCCTCTTCTCCCCCTCCCCCAATGCAAGCACTTCCTCCCCTTCCTCCTTCTCCTCCTCCCAATGCCAGCACTACTCCTTCCCTTCCTTCCCCCCTTCCTCCGTATGGCAGCAGTCCCCCTCTCTTCTCTCCTTTCCCACCACTCCCTCCTTCTCACCTCCCACCCTCCAATCTTTTGCTCCTCGTCTTCCACTCTTGCACCAACGACCTGACTACCTGTGTTTTTATGACTGTCTTTCATTGTATACCTGTCCCTTTCTCTCGTTCTTTCTGTATCCTTGTTTCTGTTGTCCTGTCTTTGTAAATCTAACAGGCACTCGACCTACACTCTCTCTCTCTCTCTTTCTCTCTCTCTCTCTCATCTAACCACAACTCTTTTCTCTTACAGTCCGACCATTCTTCGTGCGCCTCCCGAGTGACGTGACGAGTGTGACGGGGGGAGAGGCGACGCTCCGATGCCGTGTAGGAGGGTCGCCACGCCCCCACGTCCTCTGGAGACGCCACGACGGACGCATGCAAGTAGGACGCGCGCGCCTGGATGATGACTCATCCCTCAGGATCAGCGACCTCACCGTGGAGGATGCTGGCGTGTATATCTGCCAGGCCGAGAACGCCGTAGCCACCGTCGTCGCCAACGCCACCCTCACTGTCTATGGTGAGTCTCTGTACTGTAAGCAGGTTCCTAACTATAAGCAGGTAGACTGATAGCAGATTGGCTCCTGACTGTAAGAATAAAGACTCCTAGCTGCAGGAAGGTCAGCTCCTATCTTAGTGCTAGCAGGTAATAAGGAAAGCCAAGATGATGATAATGGAAATGTCAGCTAAGTTTCTCCCCTGAGCAGTAATCAGAGCAAAATACTAATGGCGGTTCTAATATAAGAACCTTCAGGAGGACCAGTTTACAGTGTGATAATGTCAGCAGGTGAAGACAATAAAACTAAATGTTTCACAGGGGAAAACATTGTGTTCAGCATCATTAAGTCAGCACTGTGAAGCATTCTTACACCAGGAGGTAAATAGTCAATTTAAAGCTTGCCTTTCTCACTTGGATGATAATGATTAAATACCGGTATGAAAAAATAAAAATCCGCATTACTCTCCGGTAACCTTGAACCGTTTAGCGATTAATAATGTTAAATGTATCAGTAGCACACATGGCGCACCTGGTGACTTAACACAATGTGGCTAAGCCAAAGTGAATTACAATAACATTTCTTGTCTTTTCATATTTTCTAATATATTGTGTGACAGATCCGCCACAGCTGGTGTCAGGACCAGTGGACACCTCCGTCATCCTCAACACCACTGTACGTCTCCCCTGTTACGGGAGGGGCACGCCCCTGCCCACGCCCGTCTGGACCCACTCTTCCCTGCCACAGCAGCCTCTGGGCGCGGGGTGGGCGGGGGAGGACGCCCATGTGGATGAGGACGGGACACTGGTGGTGACGCCCGTAAGGCAGGCCCAGGGCGGCTCGTGGACCTGCTCCTTGGTGAGTGAGGCGGGCGCCGCCCACGCCCACGCCTGGCTCACTTTGGTCGCCCGCCGTCATGCCCCACCACCCATCATCAGCGTCCCCCCTGCCAACCAGACACTGCCCGCCCGCACCCACGCCATCCTCCACTGTCGAGCAAAAGGTCCTCCCACGCCCACTCTCACCTGGTACCGGGGGGCGGCGCCCGTCAGGTCAATCAGTAACAGAATCTCCATCAGCAAGGCCGGCGACCTCACCATCACCAGTAAGTGTACCATACCCTGTACACTGTAGCCACCAACACTGCATCATGCCCTCACATACACTGACACACGAAACCCATTTCAATACATTCGTTTCTTCTTCCCTAATAATAATAATAATACAAATAATAATAATAAATTAATAGACACACCTGTAAATCAAGTCAATAATAATTACCATGTTCCCGTTATGTATTTTCCCACATAGAAGAAGCAGTAAAGAGGAAACACCCCGCTATCTACTGTTTACCCATCCTATATTTCTATGGCAGATGTAATGTATTTTTTAGTCCCATAACGACCTACTAATCCTTACTAATGATTCGCTAATCCACCGGTCTTTACTGACTTACCGTCTCTCTCTCTCTCTCTCTCTCTCTCTCTCTCTCTCTCTCTCTCTCTCTCTCTCTCTCCACCATGTTATTACTTCATCATCAGTATCTCATTGCACGCTATTCCCCCGTTACCACCGTTATTTTCATTTCTCTGTTACCACCGTTATTCTCACCTCTCTGTTACCACCGTTATTCTCACCTCCCTGTTACCACCGTTATTCTCACCTCTCTGTTACCACCTTTACTCTCAGCCTTCCGTTACCCCGTCACCCAAACCTTTTATTAGCCTGACATATCCTGTTTCTTATCTATACCCACTCCATTCCCCCTCCTCCCCCTCATTCTCTTTCATCTTCCTCTTCTTTGTTCTCACATTCTTTCTCATTCTCCCTCTCCATAAACCCATCCCCTTCCTATCCCTATCCCTATGTACACATCTTCTCTCCTTCTCCCCTTATCATTCTACATTTTCCTTCTCTCTCTGTCCGTCCCTCCACCCAAGCCAACCCTCCCTCCATCCCCAACCCTCCACCACAGGCAGTCCATCCGCCCCTCCCTCCCCTAGATTCTCTCTCTCCCGCTTTCCCTCCCTCTCGTTCTCTCCTTCCCTTTCTCCCTCCCTCACATGTGTCCCTCCTTCATCCTACCCACGTACATTCTTCCCCTCCATCCTTCCCTCCCACCCTCACCCTCCACCCTTCCCACCCACCCTCTCTCTTTCCCTCCCTCACAACTCGTCTACCGGATAATCCCTCGACAAACACAAAGAACAAACAACAATTACAGCAGATCCTAATTCGACTAAAATACGGCACTTGGTGTTTTGAGTCGCCGAGTTAGTTACACCATTCTGCTGTGGATTTTGGCGAGTATTAAGAGATTGTGTGATTGAAGCTTTTAATTGACTGTCCATGGTAGGGGGACGACCTTTTAATATTCCGGACTGACATGCGCATGCACGTGCATACAAATACGCATGTAGAAAGAAAAACACATGTGCAGAAGTACATATATACATGCATAAACAAAGGGCTACATAAAAAGAACCTATGTGAAAATAAACACGTTACATACATCCACGCTTAAAAACTCGAGTGTAAATACACACATAACAGACATAAAGACAAAGAGGTATACACACACACACACACACACACACATATATATATATATATATACTGTATATATACTTAAACATAAGAGTGCATTGCCTGCTTATTCATACACCCATGTATTCACTCGGCTACACACAACCACGTTACCCTTGGTTGACGTAGGAATACATCAACAATGGACATACACAGGCAGACATACACACGAATAATACAATACAACAGACACAAAATTCACTAAATTTGGAGAGAGAGAGAGAGAGAGAGAGAGAGAGAGAGAGAGAGAGAGAGAGAGAGAGAGAGAGAGAGAGAGAGAGAGAGAGAGAGAGAGAGAGAGAGAGAGAGAGAGAGAGAGAGAGAGAGAGAGTACTTAAAACATAACACTACGATAATTACGATGAATAAAACAGAAAGTGTTAATGAATAAAAGCACAAGCATAAATATAAGAAATAACGGAAATCACATATAGGGAAATAACGACAAAGATAAACAAATAACAACATCTGATAAAGTAAACACAGTAGAACAAAGAAGAAGAACAGTAAACACGATGATTAATTTGTAAACAATCTCTGATAACGTAAACACTAAAGAACAAAGGCAAATAACGAAACAATGAGAAAATGAGGAAATAGTGGTTAATCCTAAGACAACGAAGAACAAAGGAGAATAACAGAGAACACCAATAAAACGAAGAAATCATAGTTATAATAATAATAATAATGTTCCCGGTACGTACAGTAAAGAACAAAGGGGAGTAAAGGTCCAGAAGAAAGATAATTAAAAGAAATCATAATTAAGACGCAAACACTGAAGAATAAAACAGGGGATGGAGGAGAGATGATAATAATAATAATAATAATAATAATAATAATAATAATAATAATAATAATAATAATAATAATAATAACAGCATAACAACAAAAACATTATTATGAACAGGAGGCGTTAGGAGGTACAGTATAAGGAAGTAGTAAAAGGGGAGATAACAGAAGTGAGATGGAGAGAAACAAAGAAAAAAACGATTAAAGTAAGATAATTGGCGATGAAGGAGAAAATACAAGACAAAAGGAGGGAAGTATAGTGGAGAGAGAGAGAGAGAGAGGGAGAGGGGGGGACGGAGTAAATATGGGGAACAGCAAACAGAGGGATAAGTGTGTAAGAGCCAAACTGGGGAGGAGGGAGGAAGGGTAGAGAATATGTTAGGAGACTAGCAGAGAGCGTGATGATGGGAGGAAATAACGAGGAGGGGTGGAGAGACAGGAGGGACAAGGATGGAAGGGGGTCTCGGAGGGGGAGGGGGGAGGAGGAGGGGGGTTTAGGGGAGGGAGGAGAGGGGATAGGGGTTTAGGGGAGGGACGAGAGGGGAGGGATAGGGGTTTAGTGGAGGGAAGGGGAGAGAAAAGGAGGAAGAGGTAAGGGGGGTTAGGGAGAAGGGGTGGTGTCGGGGGGGGGAGAGGGGGATACCAGGGAGAACTGAAAAAATACCAAGTTCCTGAAAAACGTGGTGTTGTGAAGGGTTAAGCCTAGGTATGATAGAAGGTGATGAAAATGATTACAGGCTTCAGGAATTTACGAGGCGAGGGCAGCTGAGGCGGAGTGAGGCCCGTGCTACACCCGGGGACGGCACCAGTAAAATGGGGCAACATACCACCCACTAAAAAAGAATTAGGAGAGTTAACCCTTTAATTTCCACCAGTTTTCTGTAATGAATTAAATATTATGAGGCGTCTTGTTTATTTTTATTTTTTTCGTAACTATGATGAAATATTTAGGTGTTTATTCTTAAAAACATAAGCGGGAGATTAAAAGTTGTTTGTAAAAGTCCTCCAAGAGTATTTTGATGTTATAAAGGACGAAAATATAATTGTACCTTCGTGTTGCGGAAAAATAAAAGGTGAGAGTTTATTTCGATGGAGAAATATAATTTGGACACATGTTAACAGAAAGGGATTTACACGTTCTGAGTTCAGGGTTTAGGAATTTGGTTTACCTGGTTTTCGTTCATTTTTAAGGATTCTGAAAACTTTAGTGGAAGAATTTACTGCTTTAGGAATATTGCATTATGAAGATCAACGCAGAAAACTTAATATGAAATTTTGCATTCCATTATAAACTTAAATGAAATACTGTATCACTTATCCACGTAGTTAGTTGTATATACACAACACTTACCGTATATACATTAAGTTTGTCGAATACAGTACACCTAGTATACGCTGAACAAACCATATATACCCAGACGTTATAGATCATACGAGGCCATTGTGTACACGCAAAGCAAATGGACTTGGCGTATGTATCTAGTGAAGTCTATCGGGAGGCATATATAGAGTTTGTCACATACAGTATACGCAGAACTTAACGCACATACAGTACATAGAACATAAGAACCAAGCAAATCTATTTAGTAAACACCATAGATGACGTCTGTGTGAATATTATGTCACACATACGCAGAACTTCCCTAAATACGCAGACCTTACCATATATACGCAGTTCTTTCCTTGTATACGCAAAATCTTCCCCACACATAGGATCCTCAGCCTTCGTATTTAGTGAGAAGTGTGGTGGAAGGAGAGGAAGGGAAGGTGGAAGGAGAGGAAGGGAAGGTGGAGGGAAGGAGAGACGGACGAGGGAATAAGGAAAGGAAGGATGGAAGGATGGAGGGAAGGAAAGCTGGAGGGACGGTGGAATGGAAAGATGGAGGGATAGAGAGATGGAGGGATGGATGGATGAAAGGGTGAAAGGAAAGAGGGGCGGAAGGGCAGAGGGAAGGAGGGACGGATAGACGAAGGGATGGAGGGATGAATGGATGGAGGGATGAAAGGATGGAGAGATGAAGGGATGGAAGGGTGAAAGGAAGGAGGGACGGATAGACGAAGGGACGGAGGGATGGAAGGTTAAAAGGAAGGAGGGACGGATAGACGAAGGGATGGAGGGATGAAAGGATGGAGGGAAGGAGGGACGGAGGAAAGCTTGAAGGTCAAAGCCGAATATCCAGGCTGGGTGGAGCAGATGGTTCAGTTCCCACCACTCCCCAGGCAAGGGTGCAAGGCTCGCCTGGCCGGGCCGGGGTGAGGGGAGAAGGAGGAGGGGAGAAGGGAGAAGGAGGTAGTGTGAGGGGAGAAGGGGAGATGGAGGTAGAGTGAAGGGAGAAGGAGGTAGAGTGAGAGAAGAGAAAGCAGAGAGGAGACAGCGAGATACAATGAGAAAAAATGGCAAGGAGGAAGGTAAAAGACAGTGAAGAGAGAGAGAGAGAGAGAGAGAGAGAGAGAGAGAGAGAGAGAGAGAGAGAGAGAGAGAGAGAGAGAGAGAGAGAGAGAGAGAGAGAGAGAGAGAGGGGAAGAAATGTGAGAAAGCCACATTATTGCACAGTCATTCATCGTAAGGTCAAGCGCGCGCGCACACACACACATACACAGAAAAGAGAGACAGACAGACGAGGTTAAGCAAAAAGTAACAAACAAAACCAATAAATAGGATAATATCAATAATAAGGACAGGACGTAAGAGACAGAGAAACGGATTGAGAAGGAAGGAGAGGATCAACAGAGGGTAAAGGAACGGAAAAGAAGAGGGAGAATTAAAAGGGGCTGTTGACCATAAACTTCAAAGGAAATAGAGGCATTAGTGGAAGGGAAGAGACAGGAATGACGGGAGGGAATTACCGACGGGGAAGGAGGGAGGGAGGGAGAGGGGTAGGGTAATGGCGGTAATGACGTTGTGAAGGACAGAGAGAAAGAGAGAAAGAGAAAGAGAAAGAGAGAGAGAGAGAGAGAGAGAGAGAGAGAGAGAGAGAGAGAGAGAGAGAGAGAGAGAGAGCTAACGCCAGCACATTAACGAACAACAAACAACCATCCCTCCCTCCCTTCCTCCCTTTCCTCTCCACTACCCTCCCTTTCCTCCCTCATTCCCTCCCTCATTCCCTCTCCCCCTCCAACATCGCTCGTAAAAATACTCACTGTGAAAACACGAACCTTGACAGTAATTTAATGAACAGACACAATAGAGAGCTTCACCTGCTGATTGGTAACACATCTGCTGGTGCCAAGGAACAAAGCGGCTCAGTTTTAATTATACCTGTGCTACCTGTCGAGGATGACGTACAGGTGCGTCGATAGGGGAGAGAGGGGAGAGAGAGGGGGAAAGAGGGGAGAGAGAGGGGGAGAAAGAGGGGAGAGGATAGGTATAAGGGGGCAGATGAGAGGAGGAGAGGTGGAATAAGGCAGAGAAGAGAAACAGAGATGGAAGAGAGAAGAGAAGAGAGAGGAGAAGAAAGAAATATATTAAAAGAATTAAAAAAAGTGTAAAGGAAATGGAAAGAAAGGTGGAGAAGACGTATCAGAAAAATATGAAAAACAACTAAGATAAATTACAATAAAGAAGGAATTGGTATGGAAAAGCAAAGAAAACAAACCTATTGAAAGTAGAAACAACAAACAGACAGAGAAACGGGAGGTGGAAAAGAGGAGAAAGAGAGTAGATGGAATAACAGATTAAGGCTCAACAGAGAAGAACGTGTGGGAAGAGGTCGATGAAGTACCAACACCTGATGTAAACATTAACTTTACACAAAACACAGTCATCCCCCGCCCATCAGCAATGACTTTTGACCTTATCTTAAGCATTGACCTCTCACATCACGCAACAACCCGAGATAAATATTCATGACCTCTAACATTATTAACCTTTCCATGTAATCTATTGCTTTTACCTATTAAAATGTAGTATTTCATTTGACTTCCCTTGGTTGATCGTGAACTTTGACCTATTCCCCCAGGGACATCATTTTAACACCAGTTTTCATTCCTGATTATTTCAATAGATATATAACCTTTAATATTCTGCGTAGTACTAAATGTTTACTTACTCTCTCTCTCTCTCTCTCTCTCTCTCTCTCTCTCTCTCTCTCTCTCTCTCTCTGACTGATAATAAAAACTACACATTGTATCTTAGGCAACTGAACTAATCCATTTTTGTATTATCTATTTCTACAGTTATCACATTTCCCTTTAACCTACATCCTCCTCTTATCACCTTATCTCTCACTTTACTCTTTCTGAGGGAGGCTTTAAACTACCTCTAATTGCAATCTGGCTTGATAAATCCAATTACCTGGAAATAGTTTGATCAAGGTAACCTGCCACCAATGCATACTTAATAAGACCACCTGCGTAGATACTGATTGGCTGGCAGACGGTTGCAAGCGAGAGCCACAGTTAGATTAAATGGGTTACGACAACACTTTGGTTTTAACCTCTGTTGTAATACTAGAAAAATATTTCCTTGGTAAACTTTAAAGTGGTGTTAATATTCTCCTCTTATATCACAACGGTTCGACTCTCTCTCTCTTTCTCTCTCGTTATCTCCTTATCAGATTAGCTTAAACTTTCCTCTCTCTCTCTCTCTCTCTCTCTCTCTTTCTCAGGCTGGCTTAGCCCTTCAGTTCTCCAATGTCTAGTTCAACGAGTATATTATCCCCTCGTTTGCTCATTCATTCTTGTCTCACATTAAACTAGCTTTAAACCTTCGCCTAACCAAAACAAAACTGAATTAAACCTTTTGCTTCCTGTCGAAATAGATTAAACCTTTCTCTTTCACATCGGTCTGGTTTAACTCGTCATCTCTCTCTCATTAACAGGGCTTAACCTCCTCCTCCTCCTCCTCCCACTCAACTCGTACCTCTCTCTCTCTCTCTCTCTCTCTCTCTCTCTCTCTCTCTCTCTCTCTCTAAGCTGATGAAGGTCCAATATGACTTTTAAGTGACCTGTAGCAGACTCTAATCTTAGTAGGGAGTGACCTAAGTAGGGAGTGACCTTAGTAGAGAGTGACCTTAGTATGGAGTGACCTTAGTATGGAGTGACCTTAGTATGGAGTGACCTTAGTGTGAAGTGACCTTAGTGTGGAGTGACCTTAGTGTGAAGGTGACCTTAGTGTGAAGTGACCTTAGTGTGATGTGACAGTATGTTAGTTCAGTTTTGAGAGAGAGAGAGAGAGAGAGAATACAATCCACAAGCACGAGCGGCAAACATGGGATTTGGATGCTGGCAAATTATAGGTTGGAATTATGCACATGACGGCTCTCCCAGGGGACGCCACTGGTGATTGGAAGGCGACTGGAGGATTGGAAGACGACAGAAGAATTGAGACCAGAGGAAAAGGGGGATAATTGAAAGACAGAGACGATTACAGGACTACAAGACAATTAGAGAATGGAAAACGAACGCAAGATTGTGAAATGACTAGAGGAAAAGAAGAAAGATTAAGATATTGGAAGGCGATTGACGGTAGACTTAAAATAGATAGTGAGGATGTTTAACCTAAATTTCAACAACAGACAAGACTAAAATAAAATTAAAAAATAGACATAAGGGAAAAGACTCTCCATCTGTATATAAATAAGACAAAAAATAAACATTGACAATACTAAAAATATACATAAAAGGGACAAAACTCTGATGGCTGATTAAATAAAGGACATTTATGGGATTAAGAGTAATTTTTTAAGTGGATTTTAATTCGAAAGGAAGGTAAAATAAAAAGAGAACGAGAGAACAGGAGAATGGTGAGAGAGAGAGAGAACGAAAAGAAAACGAGACACTGTTGAATAATCATGATATGGAATGGTAAGAGAGAGTGTGTGTGTGTGTGTGTGTGTGTGTGTGTGTGTGTGTGTGTGTGTGTGTGCGTGCGTGTGTGTGTGTGTGTGTAAACCAACGCCGTCAGCCATGATGTATACTTCAGCTTTTTATCCCCCAGCAGCAGTGTTACCACAACCCTCTCAAGTGTAATCTCATTAATCCTTAACAGTGTTACCAAAAGAATCATCTTTTACTCACCAGAGAACAAAAAATCGTTTTAATCTCTGCAAGAAACAAAACAATTTCACTCAATGTTGCCAGATCTGAACAGACCACTCCCTAACAGTGTTCCCAAAGCCAGACACTTGCCAACAAAAGTACCAGATAAGCACTAAACCCTGACAAGTTTTAGTAAATGGTACCAGGATAGCATTATATCTCATAGATGGTAGTTAATGCACCGTGCAAACGCTTCTAACTTTTAATACTTAGTAATCCCCCCCCAGTGTTACCACATCCTCAAATAACCTTCAACTGTAAATTTAATATTATACTTGTGAATTGTAAGAATTTTATTTATTAGGATTTTTATATGGTTCTTTTTATTTCCACTTTCACCCACTGTATTATTGTGTCTACACCTGTAGCTCTGCCCCTATACTGTACTGTACTGTATCCTTACAGCTGTACTTATATTTACGATTATTACTCATAAAGAGCCTTTCAAAATATTTCCTTATCGTTACCAATATTGTTAATTCTGGTCAGTGTCCCCAGAGCCTCATTAACTCAGATCACAGTTGCCAGAGAGGCGGTGATACCCCGGGAACAGGATTGTCAGGATCCACAGGTTATTTTTAACCCAACTGACGGAGTGGGAAACACACCTGACTATCTTGTGCTTCTGGAATATTAAATTACCTGTTAACTATATATAAAAATTTATGTTAAACTTCATTCATTATAACCAATGTTGCTTCATGTGCTCTTCTTTCCCTCAGGTCTGCACGAGACTGACAGTGGTCGCTACACCTGCGTGGCCGATTCGTGGTCGGGGTCGTCGCAGAGGTCAGCGTCGCTGCTGGTGGTAGGTGGGGACGACCCTCAAGCTGCCCGCAGCTTCCGCCGGGCCCCCTCGCCCTCCGCCCTTCCAGCCCCACCCACACGCCCACGCATCAGCGATCTCACCAACGCCTCCGTGACGTTGGTGTGGGCGCCGCCACACACCAATGGGGAGGCACCCCTACTGGGTTACACCCTGGAGTCTTACACATCCACAGGGGAACACCGAGGGGGTCAGTGGCGGTTGGTGGCGAGAGGATTAGCCCGCCCCCGCTATACTGCCCCCCTGGAGGCTGGCCGTCCACAAGTGTTCGTGGTGCGGGCAGAGAACTCGCTGGGGGAGTCACCGCCCTCGCCCTGGTCGCAGGTGGTGATAGTTGGTGTGGGCGGGGAGGTGGGTGAAGGAGGAGCAATACACACCCGGGTGGAAACGCCACCTTCCCTGGTGGGTCGTCGTCTCAATCTCACCGCCCTCAACACCCTCACCTCCTCCTCCATGAAGGTCACCTGGCAGGTAGGTCCCGGGGTCTTGTTCATACCTGTACGTCACCTTTTGTAATCGTTTATCTTTCTTTAGGTTTACATCTGGCAGGTAAGTCTTGTGTACACGCGTGACTCCTACCTTTTTGCTTTCTCTACTTGGGTCCAACAAAGACTTACTAAACCCCTCGTGTCTCACTCGGCTTTGTCACTGAGTATTATATAATAAAAACACTTCTTTTGCAGTTAGTAATATAAAACTATCTATATTTATCAGTTATCAAATTCGATCTCGATATAACTGCAATACAAAGAAAAAAGTATCAACAAAATTATAAAGAAGTTAGACAAACAGACAAATGAGAATAAATAACACTTTTAATTATTCGGAAAAAATATGTTAATTTTTTGGTCAATGGAAATGAAAAAATATAATAAAATATAAATATTCACTGAAATAGATCCCAGTTATTTTTACATATTCTACTTCCTAAATATTTTTCATCAACAAAAAATGAGAGAGAGAGAGAGAGAGAGAGAGAGAGAGAGAGAGAGAGAGAGATGGCAGAAAGAAAGTTTGTCGTTGGACGGTACGCATGAAAACTTCAGTTATAGGTCCATCAGGAGCCACCCGACGGAGAGACAGTCTTGTTGGGGTGTCTCATTCTCTCACAACACGGGGAGCAAACTGCCGCAGGACACACACACACACACACACACACACACACACACACGTTAGGTCTAGTCTTTTTCTTTGTGTTTACAGATTGTATGTGTAAAAATAATAATATATAATGTATCTCTTTGCATTGGATGTTGATTAGAGGTGATCCAGCCAACAATGATTCACAAACAGCAGTCTTCCTCTCCCATCATCCACAAACAGCAGTCTTCCTCTCCCATCATCCACAAACAGCAGTCTTCCTCTCCCATCATCCACAAACAGCAGTCTTCCTCTCCCATCATCCACAAACAGCAGTCTTCCTCTCCCATCATCCACAAACAGAAGTTATAGTGTTTCCTTTCCCACGTTGCAGAAACAGAACAGCAATTTTCCTCTCATCGTCCAAAAAACCTCCTCGTCCCATAATACCGAAGAGAAAGTAACAAAAACGCCGCCCCGTCATTCTTCACCGTCGCTTTCTTCCTCTTCCTCCTCCTCCTCCTCCTCCTCCTCCTCATCCTCGTCTTCCTCCTCATCCTCCTCCTCCTCCTCCTCTTTCTTTAACACCACCAAACTCCCACTGAAACAATGTGTTAGAGACGACAACTATTTCCAACCGGGAGCAAATGACCCCCACCACGAATTTACCAGCACGGTGTTTAGTGTGTGTGTGTGTGTGTGTGTGTGTGTGTGTGTGTGTGTGTGTGTGTGTGTGTGTGTGTGTGTGTGTGTGTGCAGGTAACCAGTATAGCCACATAGGACAAACACCCCCAGAGCAACTTTAACCCACCTGGTGCATCACAAGTTTATCACGACTACTCCACAAGTCGTCCAAGGAAATCAGATTTTTTTTTTCTTTCAATTTTTATACCACTAATAAAAATCATCCCGAGAGAAATCCCATCTGCATATTGAACTGGCACCACTTGGGACGAGGAGGAGAAGGGGAGAGGGAGAAGAGGAGGAGGAAAGGGGGAATAGGGAGAGGAGGGGGGTAGGGGAGAGTAGGGGGGAGTAGGGGGAAGGGGGAGGGGGAACAAACCACCATCACCTCCGTCTTCTGGGTCGAACATGATGTAGGAAAAGGGATGATTATTAAAGGAGAAAATATGGAGAGTTGAGAGACCTACAAGAAAGGTTTTGAACGAGAACTTGTCACAGATAATGATAAAACGAAGAAGAAGAACAAGAAGAAGAACAAGAAGAAGAACAAGAAGAAGCTAAATATAAACAAAAATAATAAGATCATAATGAGATAAAGAAAAAAGAAGGAAATATGAAAGACTTAACGAGAAAATAATGAAGGTGGAGTTTACTAGAAGTAATAACTAGCAAGAAAGAAGAAAGGAAATAACGAGGGTGATGCAGAGAAAAGTTTAATTTGCAGAGGAAGGAACGGAAGGTTGTGTAAAGACTTGCAGGAAAATGATGCGAAGACTTGGCAGAAATAATTGCCCACAGGAGGAAGAAGAACAAAAACAAAAGAATAATAATAACAAAAACTGGACACACACACACACACACACACACACACACACACACACACACACACACACACACACACACACACACACACACACACACACACACACACACACACACACACACACACACACACACACACACACACACACACACACACACACACACACACACACACACACACACACACACACACACACACACACACACACACACACACACACACACACACACACACACACACACACACACACACACACACACACACACACACACACACACACACACACACACACACACACACACACACACACACACACACACACACACACACACACACACACACACACACACACACACACACACACACACACACACACACACACACACACACACACACACACACACACACACACACACACACACACACACACACACACACACACACACACACACACACACACACACACACACACACACACACACACACACACACACACACACACACAACAACAACAACAACAACAACCAGAGAGAAAATAACCCAAGACGAAATCAAAACAACTCATCATTAGCAAAACAATAAGTCCGACGTCCCAACCCGATGCGATGCGACCCGACCCGATGCGACCCGACACAACACGGTGAGAAACGAGAGACATGGGTCAACTAAGAGACAATTGGAAGAGAATAATGGTGGGTAATACGAGTGAGAGAGAGACAGAGAATCGGTGTAAAGGAGGAGAGAGCGATTAAGAGAAGAGAGGTAGCCACTGGAGGAAGGGAACGGTGTAAACAACTCTAGGAAATTAAGTTGTAAAGTCCCTAAAGCAGGAGGAGGAACACGACCTCCTACCTGGGGGGTGAGGGGTGTTGGGGGTGAGAATGAGTTCCTGGGGGGTCCTCAGGAATTTGCGCGACTTGGTATCGTAAGAAAAGAATACGAGAAGGAACAGCAAAACAAATGAGAAGGTAAGTGGGAGGAATGTCGATGGGAAGAGAGAAGGAGAGAGAAAGAATGTTGACGAGGAAGGAAGGAAGGAAGGAAGGGGAGAGTAAGAATAATTAGGGACAAGAATGGAGGAGGAAAGGATAGATGAAGAATGTTGAGGAATAAGAGGAAGAATGATGACGGAGAGGGAGTAAGAACGATAATGGGGAATAAGGAAGGGGGGAAGAAGGGATAGAGAGCAATGAAGGTGGAAGAAGAGCGATGAAGAGAGAAGGCCAGAAGAATGTTTTTCTCTTCACCTTCTCTTCAACAGCCATTCCAGTCTTCCGTTCATCACCCTCTCTCCTGTTCCCCCACACCTCCATATCGGTTCATTGGCTGGTACTGACAAGTTATCGGTTCCCTATCGGCTTTCATCGGATTTTTTTTTGTGTCAACTGGCGTGGTACTTAGAGCTTTCACATCAGTTCTGTCTCAATCGGCAACCAGGGTATCGGGTTCATCATCAGCTTCTTTATCGGTTTTATCACTGAACTTCGTCGCTTGTTATCGGTTTTGCTCTGAACTTCGTCGTCTCTTTCTCATTTTTGCCTCAATTCGAGGGTAAAATATCGGTTCATTATCGGCTTTTTATCGTTTTCCTTTTTTTGTTTTATCAACTGCGAGGTTGTTCAGTGGTATATCAACTCTTGTCTCCGTTCACGGGTAGAGTATCGGTTCATTATCGGCTTTAGATCTGAACTTCGTCAATTCATATCGGTTTTATTCTGTAGTTCGTATCGGTTTCGTATCGGTTTCGTATCACCTCTTCAGCATGTTATCGGTTCACCATATGGGCTTACCTACTCACCATTTTACTTATCAGTTAAGTCACAATACACCCAAAGATTTCTCATCAACTCTCTATGAACGTGTAAGGTATCGGTACATCATCGGCTCATCATCGGTTTTGTTCTGAACTTTACCACTTCGTATCGGATTCGCCTTCAGTTCACAACCCTCCCAAGTATCGGTTAACCATCTGTTTCTTACCGTTTGTTATCGATTATTTTCTCTCTTTATCCTCACCTATTTCACTACTTACGTGTTTCTCCTCAATTGTCTTAATCACACCATTCATTCATCCTCTCTCGTTTATCAGGTATGCAAATGTTCACCTGTTGTTTACTATCACCTGAAGCCTAAGTAAACAGATATTTGTCTTCTTCTCGTCCATAAGTCTATCATCAGCCTTATAATCTATCTCACCCCGGACCTGGGATCGAACCCGAGACTACTAGAAATCGGGGTTCGAATCCAGTTTTGCGTGTACTTCAGTTACATTGATATACATGGATAAGGAGTATCTATTTGCGTCATATGGGAAAAAAATAATAATAATATAACCAGATTGACCCCTTTAGTATGTCAGGTTTTCATCGTGTTTTCTTATAATTAGCATCAGTTTATATCACTAATTATAGCCCCCCAAAATATAACACCTCAAACACATTAAATATAAAGGTAATTTTACACGTGTCGATTCTATTCTAGATATGTATTCATTTATATTCGGATTTGATTACCAATTACATTTCACACACACACACACACACACACACACACACACACACACACACACACACACACACACACACACACACACCTGATCTTAACTAGAGCTCTGACCTTAGCGCTTTGACCTTTAAAGACATAGGAAAAGTTATTACGATAGATTAATCAGATTTAATTATTTAACTATTTCGGATCACGAGTATTTTTGCAGACACACTTACGTAACCTGTAGAAAGACTTATATAATCTATAGTCACAGTTATATAATCCATTAACATACATAATCCACAGACACACCAGCATACTCAAAGAACATACAACCGTGATCTACAAACATACATAATAAAGAAGACATACAAAGATAACACAGACATACAGTACA